AACTCACTGGAACTCAGTTCTGGCACCTTTCAGGTGGGCACCATTGCCATGATAAGAGAAGAAGGGGGTGGCGGCGTTTGTGGTGAGTTCTGCCACTTCTTTTTCTAGAAAACAGCACTGCCTTTAGAGGCCTCAAGCACTTAAAAGAATTTGGTGCCCCCATAAAGTGGTACCTCAGGTTAAGTACTTAATTCGTTCCGGAGGTCCGTTCTTAACCTGAAACTGTTCTTAACCTGAAGCACCACTTTAGCTAGTGGGGCCTCCTGCTGCTGCCGCGCCGCCGGAGCACGATTTCTGTTCTTATCCTGAAGCAAAGTTCTTAACCTGAAGCACTATTTCTGGGTTAGCCGAGTCTGTAACCTGAAGCCTATGTAACCTGAAGCCTATGTAACCCACTGTATATATTTCTATATATGGCAGATTCAGGTAGGTAGCCGTGTTGGTCTGACGCAGTCGAAATAAATTGAAAAATAAAAAAATTGTCCAGTAGCACCTGAGAGATATCTGAGGAAGTGTGCATGCACACGAAAGCTTATACCCAGAACAAACTTAGTTGGTCTCTAAGGTGCTACTGGACAATTTTTTAAATTTATCTCTATATATGGCAGTTTTGTTGTTGTTGTTGTTAATTAAATTTCTATACTGATAAGTTTAGGTAATAGGTTTATTAGAGTGAAAAGATGTAGAAAAGGATGGGAAGTCTAATCTATGTACTAAATTTATACTAGGAAGACTTATATATTTTTGTTGGAATTCTTATTTTGAAAGTTTGATTTACAGATTATAATATGTTTTAGATGTATGGATGCAATTTCGATAAATAAAGCTTGATGATGATGATGATGATGATGATAATAATAAATTTCTATACTGCCCTTCATCCATAGATCTCAGGGTGGTTCACAATTAAAAACATCAACACAAACAAATGGTACAAAACCTTCTCAGGCCAAATTTAGGAGTTTGCTTCTGCCTTTGCTCAGAGTGTGCAGGTCTTTCTTAAGTAGCCCTGGAGAATGTAGGAATGTGACGAGCCCAATTCCTAACAGAGAACGATGAAATCCCACATAACACTGGGAGCCAAGGATATCAATACCATTATAATTAAAATAAGAAATTAACAAAACAAAAAAAAGTTACTGGTCTTCAGCCCCCTCAGTATTTGCTTATTAATTTCTTGTACTGTTTTCGCCTGGTTAGAATGTGTGTCCATGAATTCTGACTTTGCTTCTTCCATGGCAGGAATGACCGTTGCTTCTAGCCCAACCCTTCACCAGCATGTGGCCCTCAGAAAATTTGTAATATGGCCCTAGGTCTGTAAAAGATCTGCCACCGTGAACAATATTGCCTGGTTTGGTTTTTTCCTTTCTTTCCTGTTTTAAATGCATCGCTGTTTTATTTCAGCATGTCCTTACAAAACTCCTCCATTTTGCAGACCTATATCGGCCGCAAAATGTTCCAAGCCAGAGGGAGCTAAAACTGTCTTCACTCGTGACGCAACCAGCTGCATTGCGTACTTTCTGATGAGTTATGGCTGTTTGTAAAACAACAGCCAGCCTTAGGAGGAGATGTTGATTTATGCACGTCTGCACATTAAGGAATAGAAACATGACCAACGAAAGACCACAAGAATGACATAATTTAGTGTTGTCTTATTTCCCAATTTCTTAAAGCTACTACTTGGGCAAAACCAGCATGCAAGGCGACACAGACCAAAGTGCTGTGCAGAATTTTTAGACAATGGGAAAAGCCTCAGAAATTGCAGCCCCCTGGTGGCGGGAATTATCCATGGAGTTTTCTTGGCAGGGATACTGGAGTGGCTTGCCGGTTCCTCCTCCAGGTGGATCACGTTTGGTCAAAACTCTCCACTGTGACCTGTCCATATTGGGTGCCCTGCTTGGCATAGTTCATAGCTTCTCTGACTTATTCGAGCCCCTTCGCCACGGCAAGGCAGTGATCCATGAAGGATCAGTAGTGATGTACGGAGGTGAGAGCTGGACCATCAAGAAGGCTGATCGCCGAAGAATTGATGCTTTTGAATTATGGTGCTGGAGGAGACTCTGGAGAGTCCCATGGACTGCAAGAAGATCCAACCTCTCCATTCTGAAGGAAATCAGCCCTGAGTGCTCACTGGAAGGACAGATCCTGGAAGCTGAGGCTCCAAGACTTTGGCCACCTCATGAGAAGAGAAGACTCCCTGGAAAAGACCCTGATGTTGGGAAAGATGGAGGGCCCAAGGAGAAGGGGACGACAGAGGATGAGATGGTGGGACAGTGTTCTCGAAGCTACCAGCATGAGTTTGACTAAACTGCGGGAGGCAGTGGAAGACAGGAGTGCCTGGCGTGCTCTGGTCCATGGGGTCACGGAGAGTCGGACATGACTAAACGACTAAACAACAACAAGTGGCGGGAATTAGGCAGGACCCACAGAATTGCCTATATGCACTCTTAATCTGCATCTGTGGGTGGGGCTTATTTGCATTTTAAGCTGTCAAGGTTTTTGGAACATTTGTCTTTTCCATTTCATCCCAGCTTCCCCACTCCACCCATCGACCACTTCTCCTCCTCCATTTTACCTCCCCGGTTTTCCTGATTCCCCTCTCCTCCCAATGCCCCCTTTTCCTTCTCCATTTCATCCCCAAGGCTCTCCTGCTCTCCCCTTCTTCCCCCACCCAGTTTTCCTTCTCTATTTCACTCCCCTGCTTTCTTTCACCACAGCATTTCTCCTCCCCATTTCACAGTGTCTTGCTTTCCCTTCCTTCCCATACCCCTATCAAACCACGAACAGGAGTCCCGCTCAAATGCCAGCTGCAGCTGTCTTCTGATGGAGAGTCACCCATCTGGGCCAGAGAGTAGTTTCAGTCGCCAGCCGGTAAGCCATGGTGCAAAGGCGAGAGAGAGGTCAGCTGGCAGAATACTTCTGGGGTGGCGAAGAAGGAAGGGTGAGGCATGTGCTCACAGCATCTTCTCTCCGTCACAAGTTGGAGAACTGAAAAAAATTAAAAACCAAGAGAGCAGGTATGTCCATCTCCACCCTGAAAACCAGGAGCAGGAGGGACCTGTTGCCTTCTTCCGCCACTCACAGTGGGATAAATCCAACCTCATATAAGCAACACGCTTCACTCTAATTAATGCATGAAGGGGTTAAGACCATAGAATAAACTGTGCTGCCAGGCTTAGCTTGGTCACACCCTGTCACCTTGGGAGGAAGGCTTACCAAAACCTTTGTTCTCTCTCTCCCCACCACAACACCATGTGAACCAACCAGTAAGGATGTCTAAGCTGCATGCTCCAAGCTTAGACCACATGGCTTTAGCAAGCCTTCTTTGTGTTTCTAACAAATAACTTAGAAACATTACCACGTTTTGAAACTAAGTTGTGCTGCCTGTCTTTTCTTGCTGCTCTATGGAAAAGCACATGAATTCGACTTTGGGAAAGTTTGTAAGTCAACCATTTTTAACTTCACAAACGTGTGGTCTCTTCCGATGCTAATGGAAGTGGAAACTTTGGAAGCAGCTTAGACTGGGAATATTTCAAAGGTCTAACGGACTATATTTCCACACTTTCCTTTCCTTCATGTTTGTGATTTAAAATCTCTGGTGGGGCTCTCTCACGAAAGAGTACTTGCCCCAAACCTGGATCTATATATTCAGGGAATTCTCCTTTTATTCTTTAACCAAATTACACAAAACCAACACTCACTGATGGGCTTCTTGGATGCTCTTAGAAAAAGCTTGCTGGGCTACTCAGGCCTTTGGTCTCATCCTGCAGGGTTCCTCCTGGATCCTTTGCAGTTTCTTCTGTCAAAATCAGCGGGACTTGCTTTAGGAGCTGGCTTCTATACTTGCAAACAGCTGAAGATGGGAAGTCCTTAGGCTCAGCCTCCGACTCTGTTACTCCTGCCCTGTGCATCTGTCCCCTTTGACCTCTTGAGATAACATTTGTCTTTAAAATGGCAGCTCTGTCTTATGCGGTCGTGACTGCTTCCAACATTTGTGCAGCAGATGGTGGGAAACTCTTTAGCAAGGTTGTTGCATTGGAGAGTGTGTTTCAAAAGGAAAAAGATCGGGCAAAGAATGCTCAGAATGAAGGTATTGGTGACTGGATGTAACCTGAGATTAATCACCACGACTGCTACTTTGACCTCACCAGACTCTCTCCTTGGGCTTTTGAAGGGCTCATCTCCATCCTTACCTTGACACAAGACTTGCCAAACCTAAGAGCCCAGGACCCTTACCAGCTGTTAAGAGGGTTTCCGGTGTGAACCATGCAGTGGTTCAAGAACGAACCATCTTGAAAGCTAGGAAGGGACGCCTTCAGTAAGAGATAGACTGACTGACCAAGGGACACTATCTCCGGCCTTGACAATGGCATTGCCCTCAATTCCATTCAAGTTAGTTGCTTTGGTTTCAAGGAGAAGGGATTTACAAGCCCCCAACATTTGCAGTGTACGGAGAAGGGTTGGAATGGAGAGCAGAGGCTGCCATAAACTAAGGGAGCGGGTGGCACTGTGGTCTAAACCACTGAGCTTCTTGGGTTTGCCAATCAGAAGGTCGGCGGTTCGAATCCCCACAATGGAGTCAGCTCCCGTTGCTCTGTCCTAGCTTCTGCCAATCTAGCAGTTCAAAAGCATGCCAGTGCTAGTAGATAAATAGGTACCGCTGTGGCGGGCAGGCAAACTGCGTTTCCATGCGCTCTTGTTTCCATTACGGTGTTCTGTTGCGCCAGAAGCGGTTTAGTCATGTTGGCCACATGAACCAAAAAGCTGTCTGTGGACAAATGCCAGCTCCCTCGGCCTGAAAAACGAGATGAGTGCTGCACCCGATAGTCGCCTTTGACTGGACTTAACCCTCCAGGGGTCCTTGACCTTTTACCTTAAACCAGTGGCTAAGAAGAGCTGGAGGACCATAGCATAACCAGTGTTCACAATAGTAGTCTGGTTCGGCCTGATTTCGATAAAGGACCTCCTATTCATGGTTGTTCTTGGGAGAAAAGCAATGACAAACCTAGACAGCATCCTAAAATGCAGAGACATCACCTTGCCAACAAAGGTCCATATAGTTAAAGCTCTGGTTTTCCCAGTAGTGATGTATGGAAGTGAGAGCTGGACCATAAAAAAGGCTGATCGCTGAAGAATTGATGCTTTTGAATTATGGTGCTGGAGGAGACTCTTGAGAGTCCCATGGACTGCAAGAAGATCAAACCTCTCCATTCTGCAGGAAATCAGCCCTGAGTGCTCACTGGAAGGACAGATACTGAAGCTGAGACTCCAATACTTTGGCCACCTCATGAGAAGAGAAGACTCCCTGGAAAAGACCCTGATGTTGGGAAAGATGGAGGGCACAAGGAGCAGGGGACGACAGAGGACGAGATGGTGGGACAGTGTTCTTGAAGCTACCAGCATGAGTTTGACCAAACTGCGGGAGGCAGTGGAAGACAGGAGTGCCTGGCGTGCTCTGGTGCAAGGGGTCACGAAGAGTTGGACATGACTAAACGTCTAAACAACAACAGCAATATCCATGGTTGTGCCAGTCTACCCAAGGAAGGAAAGAAGGAAAGAAGAAAAACAACTTGAAGGTCGAACCATTCAAGAGATTTCAAGGTTCCAAGAACGTGTTCTGACCAGAATAAATCTCAAAGTTCCTTGCAGGCATCCTCTGTTGCATCCCACAGCAATACCTGAAACCTGGAGAAATCCGCAGCTGTTGAAAACTGCTGAAACAACCATCCAGTCTCCTCCAAACCCCTCTTCCAAGCTGACTTCCAGAACCTTCTGGAGGGAGGAGGGTGTCTGTTGATAGGCCCATGGCCATACCCTTCAACATTTGGTGAGAAAAATTTGGAGCAACCCTCACAGCACCCTCCATCTCCATCACCTGCCCCCTCCCTGCTGCTTACTCCTTCCTCACCCACCTGCTTGCCCCCTCCTTCCCTTCCCTCTCTCCGTTTTGATGTTTTCTGCCTCCTACTCACGAGACGCTGTATTTCCAGATGCAGCCTGGGCTAAAGTGGCCTCTGGAAGGTGGTCCTGGGCCTCGCTGCGTCGGAAGACGTTGTGCAGTCTAGAGCAGCCTCTGCAAGGTTGCAAGCCTTGCTACTGTTAGGAGATGCTGTGTGGAATAGAGCGGCCCCTGGAAGGTTGCCCCAGGCCGCCTGAAGCAGCCTCCAGGAAAATCGGGGCATCCCAGATTGAGATTGGGAGCCGGGGCAGCTTCTATAAATTCGAGATGTCCCGACTAAATCAAGACATTTGAGGGAGTTGCTCAGGTGGCTTTGCAATGTATTGTTATGCGTTTGTGGACACCAAAACTTTTAACCCCTGGACCCAGTAAGTGTTAAAATACAAGGTGTGACCGGAAAATTCGGTGAATGGTCACAGAAATTGGACAGCGATTTGGAGGGATTCTAAACATGTTTTTAAATACCACATGGAATTTAGTCTGGACTATGGAAAAGGGGCTGATTTGTTGAAAAGGGTCAAAAACATTACCAAGCTATGGACTACATGGAATTGGCGGAAATGACTGGCAGAATCCGTGACCAGGGAGAAGAGTCGATGGAGGAAGATTGGAAGAAATTCAAAGACTATCTTCAGAAACACTGCAAAATTAAGGAATGTTAGAGTGATGTTGGATTGAAAATAAGTGGTTTCCAGCTGTACAGGTTAAAGCTAAGGATAGATTAAGATTAAAGATTAAGATTAAAGATGTTTAAAGAAATGGAAATTTGATAATAAAAGGGAAAAATTTAAAGGTATATGACATTAAGAACAAGGATTATGTTTAAAAAGCTGAAGCTATATAGTTTAATATTTCATTAAATTAAAGATTGGGTTTAAAAAGTGGAAAAGAAACGGCTGGACAAATACAGTAGATTGGAATACAAAAGAGGGAGGTATGAGGAAGTCCAGAAAATAAGTAATTCAAAATTGGGAATGTAAAAGAGAGTTTGTTTTAAATTGTTATGTTGTGTGTTTCTATTGTTAAATTTTGTATTTTTTTGTGTGTGTTGCTTTTTCTTTTTTCTTTGTTTAAAACTTTAATAAAAATTATTTTAAAAAAAAAACAAAAACATTACCAAGCTGGAGTTCCCACGAGTGAAAGGTGAATATGAAGAAGAGCTGCGGAAGGGACATGGAAGAGACTTAAGGGCCTCGGATATAAGGTTACCAGGTTAATGCGCTAGATCGATGGGATAAAAAGGACTGACAAAACCCGGGACCAGGAGGAAGGGACGCTGGATGAAGATTGGATTGTTTCTGTTTCTTTTTCTTATCACTAGGATTGTTTTATAAAATTGATGACTGTCAGAAAAATGTTGGAACAAAATTACTTGGCTCTAGCAAAAATGTTTAAAGAATTAGGCACGAATATTATGGTTATGAGAAGTGGGTAAAAATAAGATTTAAGTTTTAAGTTTTAAGGTTTTTTATAAGATAAGATGAAAATAGATTAAGGTAATGTAATGACAGAATATTATGAAATATGGAAAGGATTTGCTGCGATAATTATTAACTAGGATACAAAAAAAGGGAGGAGGAGGAGGTCAAAGAAAGAAGGTAATGAAAGTTGAAGATTCGAGAATGATGGTTTTATTTTTATCTGTTTGTGGTGTATTTTTGTTTTTTGAATTTGTATTGTTGGATGTGGCTTGTTTTCTTTTTCTTTTTTCTTTTTTCTTTCTCTGCTTTGTCTTCTGTAATTTAAAAAAAAATTTCAATAATTTTTTTTTTTTTAAAAAAAAGAAATTGGACAGCGAGAAGTATTTGAACATACATGCCTTACAGGCCTCTGATACAATGCACCATTGAGAACGTTCATATAACTGTTGGAAACTTCTGGAGAAGTCCTTTTTTCGTACTGCTTTCAGTTCCCTCATCACAGCAGATTGGACATATGAAATGTTGGAAAATCTGCGCCCTTACAGTGCAGATTTCAGTTTTCGAAAAAGAAAGAAATCCGATGGGGCCAGATCGGGAGGCTATGGGGCGTGGGACAACTCAGTAACCTCAGTAACGATTTCACGCAGAATATGCAGTTCTTCCACCACCATTCGGACTGCATCAATAACTCATGAACTCCGTCGACATTTTCCGCCGTTCTACTTGTCAACGGTCTGCCACTGGGGGTGGAAAGAAGGGACAGTAAGGGGTGTGGCCTGGGAGAAGGGGCGTGGCCAGGGGAGAAGAAGGGACGATGAGGGGCATGGCTTGGGAAGAAGGGGCATGGCTTGGGGAGAAGAAGGGATGGTGAGGGGTGTGGCCTGGGGAGAAGGGCGTGGCTTGGGGAGAAGAAGGGATGGTGAGGGGTGTGGCCTGGGGAGAAGGGCGTGGCTTGGGAGAAGAAGGGGCGGTGAGGGGCGTGGCTTGGGAGAAGGGGCGTGGCTTGGGGAGAAGAAGGGACGGTGAGGGGCGTGGCTTGGGGAGAAGGGTGTGGCTTGGGAGAAGAAGGGACGGTGAGGGGTGTGGCCTGGGAGAAGGGGCGTGGCCTGGGGAGAAGAAGGGGTGGTGAGGGGCGTGGCTTGGGGAGAGTTCCAAGGGGTGTGGCCTGGGAAGGGTTCCAAGGGCCATATAGAGAGACTCAGAGGCTCCTGGACTTGAGTTTCCCCACCCAAGATGTAACGCAAAACTGCCTGCTCTCCCCAAAAGACAGGAGTTTCAGACCACCGATTTAAAGCTACCAAAGGCACCTTGAAGAATGCGTCCAATGATGTCAGCAGGGCGCAAGGGGCCTCCTCAGTCACCCTTCCACTGCCAACGAACTCTGTCCAATGACAGATTGAGTCCAAGGCATTTGCATGTAAATTATGGATCTCTTAATAAATTTATTGGCAATGGGGAGATAACGGGTGCGAGGGAGGATGGAGGAGGTTGCAATGAAATCATATTCACACTCCTCTGATTCTTGTCAACTCTCCATCCTTGGAACCAACATTTGTCACCACCCGCCATACGCCAAACTCTGTTTCTCATCATCTGAAGGGGACCCGGTAGCCTTCTCGAGAAAGCAGAGGGACCCGCAGGCCATAAATCTCCGGTGGTCTATATTTTATCACTTTTCCGTGACAGAAAAGGAAAGATTGATGGTGTTATTTGAAGAGCTGGGCCAACCTCCTCCCTGTCGATTGGGTACCTAGCCTAACTGGTGTCTGAAATATTAGTGGCGTCTGGGCATAAATGTGGACCCAGATGCTCTCCACTCTGCTGAGGAGTTTTACACCTGTCTAATTAAAAGAGACAAGACCCAGGAATTAAATGACTCGGACGTTCTTATGAAGAGGCACGTTGTAAGTTTACTAGGGACACAAATAGGATATTGTCTCATCACGGTCTTCCTTGTCAGATTTATGCACAAACTAAACAAACCTCTGATTAAGAGGGGCGCTCTAAATATGGGAGAAAGTCCAACATTGTTATGTTTTAGTAAGATTGTTAGTTTGCCATTTGCAAGATTGCTTATTATTTCTATTTCCGTTGTCCTTTCTGTTAGAATAACACACACACAAATATTTCAAAAAGCTCTAGGATCTCTTAAACTTAATGGGGCTTCAGGCTTCAGCAAGACTTTTCCCCAAGGACCGTATGCTGTGATCCTATTATAATTGTCAGTTGCCTTAATCTGTTTGTCTGTAAGTCACCTTTGTGGACTATTTGGAGAGACGTGAATTTCTTGGGTGCATATGTTCATTCAAGGCATTTAATGCAGTGCAATTTCATAGCGTGGGGGGCAGGGGGACCATGGCCCAGGGTACAAAATTCTGAGGGAGCACAACCAGGCCCCCCACATAGGTGCCAGCTTTCACAGGGCTCCCACCCTGCCCTGGCAAAGGTGCCAGAGCAGTTCAGGCCCACAGTGAGCGGGCATGGATGGAGGAATGCAGGTGAGGGGCAACCCCAGCATAGCCTGGCCTGGTGCTCCTTTCCATGGATGCTGGGAGTATATGCCTGCCAGGGACTGCATTGGCCTCCTGGACTCCCCTCCCAGCATGGGCAGGCAGATGGCACAGCACGGCCCCACTTGGTTCTGTTGGGGGCACACTCCGATGCTGTCAGCGGCTGGCAACCCACGCTATGCCACTGACACAAAGACACAAAGAAGCGTGGGTGGCACTGTGGTCTAAACCACTGAGCCTCTTGGGTTTGCCAATTGGAAGGTAGGCTGTTCGAATCCCCGCGATGGAGTGAGCTCCCATTGCTCTGTCCCAGCTTCTGCCAACCTAGCAGTTCGAAAGCTCACCAGTGCAAGTAGATAAATAGGCACCACTGTGGCGGGAAGGTAAACGGCATTTCCGTGCGCTCTGGTTTCCGTCACAGTGTTCCGCTGTGCACTGGCAGAGGAACAAGGGTGTGGAGGGAGTGGACAGCCCCTGGGACCACTATTCCAGTAGGGTGCCATCACGGTGCCCCCAACATATGCTGCACGCCCCTGCGCACAAGGCGGCATGTCACGCCCTGAGAACGCATGCCATGCCCCTGTGGGCGGCACAGGCAGCGTACCACGTCCCCTGGATGTGCGCCACTTCCCCCCCCGGGGGGCCAGCCATGCCCCCGTCTGCCATCCACCCCCGGTAGCGAAGCATGGAGCTTCGCCACTGCCGTTGCACCAGAAGCGATTTAGACCTGCTGGCCACATGACCCAGAAAGCTGTCTGTGGACAAACGCCGGCTCCCTCAGCCTGAAAGCGAAATGAGCGCCGCAACCCCATAGTTGCCTTTGACTGGACTTAACCATCCAGGGGTCCTTTGCCTTTTACCTCCAATCCAAAGAAACTTTATTCTGAATTGAACAGAACTTACTCCCAAGGAAGTGTGCCCTTAGAATGGTGTCTGTGCGAAAACCTCCTCCTAACAACAAAGGGAAATGGTAAAGGGACGGTATCCGCAATATACAAAATACTACTCCAAAATCTCGCAAATCCCCTAGATGCAATCAAAAAACAATGGGAGAATGACATAGGCTATGAGATTAACCCCACTCAATGGACCAGAATGTGGTCTAAACCCCCCTTTAAATCCATATCAACGAACTCACACTGAAACTCACCTACAGGTAGTACCTAACACCCAGAAAACTAGCGCTAATACACCCAGGAACCTCACCAAAATGCTGGAGAGGGTGCACCTCCACAGGCACATACCTCCACATGTGGTGGGAGTGTCCCAAAATCCAACTATTCTGAACAACAGCCATACAAGAAATATGTAAAATAACTAAGCAAGTAATAGACATCACCCCAGAATTGGCCCTACTAAACATCTTCCAAGACAACAATGCCCATTTACACCACAAAGAACTCATAACCCACCTACTTTCAGCAGCCAGAAACACCATAACCAGACACTGGAGAGACCTGTCAGGAGTAAACATGGACCAATGGTACCAAATAGTATGGGAAACAGCCCTACTAGAAAAATTAACTAATAAACTGAAACTGACACAGGGACAAACAGAAGAAGACGCCTTCACCCTGGTATGGCTCCCCTTTATCACATACACAGCCCAACAGGACAATGACAATAATCCACCAACAGCATACAAATCAATATGGCTAACCTGATCCAAAACACCCACCCACCTCACTCACACACGAAAACAAAGATCACCACAGCCAATCACAAGCAAACAATCACACCCTAGGCCAACCCCAACCTCTCTCACCACCAAAGGAACACAAGTGAACAACACAAGCAACGCTGACACCAAACTCTATGTACATTAAACATAATAGAAACATCGCCACCCGACCCCCACCCCCATCCATCTTCCCTCTCTCCACCCCCCTTTCTTTTTTCCTTTTTTTCTTCTCCCCCTAATGCCTCAACAAATGAAACGGATTTGTAAAAATGTTGCATGGAAAAAAAAATACGAGGCATTACACTTACTTCTGTAAAACAAGAAAATCCTTAATAAATTATTTTAAAAAAAGAATAAATAAAAAAGAATGGTGTCTGTGCGCTGCCTCTTGCTTGATCCACACACCTTGCTCAGGCATGGTCAGATATTGGCCTCGGGTCCTCAGCCCAAGAAAGAGGCCACTGGCAAGCTCTCCCTGGACTTGCTGCAGTGGGAAAACCAACTCACTGCAGAAGGGGAAGGGAGGGCCTCCAAAACCTATAAGCAATGACATACCCTCTAACATTTCTCCGATGAAAATAGGGACGTAACATTCCATAGTGACAATTTTACTATTTATACCCCACCCATCTTACTGGATTGCCCCAGCAAGCTCCGGGCAGCTTCCAACGTAAATAAAAACATATTAAAACATTAAGCATATATTTTTTTTAAAGAAACTTCCCTATACAGGATTGCCTTCAGATGGCTCGGGGGTCAAATAACTCCATACCCTCCAACATTTCTCCAATGAAAATAGGGACATCCTAAGGGGGGGGGGAAGCAGAGACATCACCTTGCTGACAAAGATCCGTATAGTTAAAGCTATGGTTTTCCCAGTCATGATGTATGGAAGTGAGAGCTGGACCATAAAGAAGGCTGATCGCCGAAGAATGGATGCTTTTGAATTATGGTGCTGGAGGAGACTCTGGAGAGTCCCATGGACTGCAAGAAAATCAGACCTATCCATTCTTAAGGAAATCAGCCCTGAGTGCTCACTGGAAGGACAGATCCTGAAGCTGAGGCTCCAATACTTTGGCCACCTCATGAGAAGAGAAGATTCCCTGGAAAAGACCCTGATGTTGGGAAAGATGGAGGGTACAAGGAGAAGGGGACGACAGAGGACGAGATGGTGGGACAGTGTTCTCGAAGCGACCAGCATGAGTTTGACCAAACTGCGGGAGGCAGTGGAAGACAGGAGTGCCTGGCGTGCTCTGGTCCAGGGGGTCACGAAGAGTCGGACACGACTAAACAACAAGGAAAAGTGGGACATTCTGGCTCAAATCAGAAACTGGGATGGCTTCTCCAAATCAGGGATGTCCCTGGAAAATACAGACATCAATTTCCTAACATACATTGCCGCTAGATCTGAAGAGGGCAACGCTGGTGAGCCAGCAACCCCGGATTGGTGCCTTCTTTGTGACTGTCCTTTGTCTTCGCTTTCAAACCAAAGATTCCAAACTTCCGAACCCTTTCCCCCCGCCCTCCTTCCCAAGTCGGATGAGACTAATAAGAATACCACCTGAGGGAAAAGGCTAATGTACAGACGCACTTCCTCTGCAGAGGATCAAACAGCCGAGACGGTTCCTTTTCAAGTTTTATTAATCCCCGGTTCATAATTTCTACCACATCATTAGTCATTTCCTATTATCAAATACTTGGTCGCCGAGTCATCCCCGCAGTAAGTGGGGGAGATAGCCCTCCTGCCACCTGCAAGGCTTTAGCTGACAGCTCCCCACAAACACATCTGGGCGAAAGGGATGCTGGAGGAAAGGAAGGATGCTCGCAAGGCGGCCCAATTAGAAATACCAGGCAGGAGGGCTTGGGGGCTGACGTCTTCCTTCTCTTTTTAATGGCCCTGGGTTTCTTTTATCCATGTTATCTCCCCAGCTGGGTCTCTCCTGCTCAAGCCTCAGGAGGCAGGGACAATTCCCGTTCACACACACACACACAAACAAGCACCCAAGAAAAAATATGGGGCTTTATAGTCAAATCATTGGCCAATGTAGCTCAGTATTGTCTACAATGTTGTTTGCACTGCAAAAGAAAGAAAGAAAGAAAGAAAGAAAGGAAGGAAGGAAGGAAGGAAGGAAGTGTAAAGGACCTCTGGACCAGGGGCTAGCAAACATTTTCAGCAGGGGGCTTGTCCACTGCCGCTCAGCCCTTGTGGGGGGCCAGACTATATTTTGAAAAAAAAAATGAACGAATTCCTATGCCACACAAATAACCCAGAGATGCATTTTAAATAAAAGCATACATTCTACTCCTGTAAAAACACCAGGCAGGCCCCACAAATATCCCAGAGATGCCTTTAATAATAATAATAATAAATTTTATTTATATCCCGCCCTCCCCAGCCGAAGCTGGGCTCAGGGTGGCTAACAACAATCAAAATAATCCAGCATTCTAAAAACATTCATTATAAAATTAATTAAAATCAAATTGATGGCAACCATTAAGCAAAATTCTGTGCAGATTTTAAATAAAAGAGCACATTCTACTCATGTAAAAACAAGCTGATTCCCAGACCGTCCATGGGCAGGATTTAGAAGGCGATTGGGCCGGATCTGCCCCCTGGGCCTTAGTTTGCCAACCCATGCTCGGCCTATCCATGCTCTGGACAGTTGAGTCTGGTCAAAGGTGATTATAGTGTATAACGCTCATCTCACTTTCAGGCCGAGGGAACTGGCATTTGTCCACAGACAGTTTCCGGGTCGTGGCCAGCATGACCAAACCATTTATGGTGCAACGGAACACCGTGACGGAAACCAGAGCTCACAGAAACACCGTTTACCTTCCCGCTGGAGCAGTACCTATTTATCTACTTGCACTGGTGTGCTTTCGAACTGCTAGGTTGGCAGGAGCTGGGACAGAGCAACGGGATTTGAACCGCCAGCCTTCTGATCAGCAAGCACAAGAGGCTTGGTGCTTTAGACCACAGTGCTAACCACGTTTACCTTTACCTTGTTTGCACTGTAAATCACCCTGGGATCCTCAGATACGGGGTGGTATAATAATAATAATAATAATAATAATAATAATAATAATATTGACTGGCCTGTGGGAAACCCACAGTTCAAGAAGGACACTGACAAACTGGAACGTGTCCAGAGGAGGGCAACCAAAATGGTCAAAGGCCTGGAAACGATGCCTTAGGAGGAACGGCTAAGGGAGCTGGGCATGTTTAGCCTGGAGAAGAGGAGGTTAAGGGGTGATATGATAGCCATGTTCAAATATATAAAAGGATGTCACATAGAGGAGGGAGAAAGGTTGTTTTCTGCTGCTCCAGAGAAGCGGACACGGAGCAATGGATCCAAACTACAAGAAAGAAGATTCCACCTAAACATTAGGAAGAACTTCCTGACAGTAAGAGCTGTTCGACAGTGGAATTTGCTGCCAAGGAGTGTGGTGGAGTCTCCTTCTTTGGAGGTCTTTAAGCAGAGGCTTGACAACCATATGTCAGGAGTGCTCTGATGGCGTTTCCTGCTTGGCAGGGGGTTGGACTCGATGGCCCTTGTGGTCTCTTCCAACTCTATGATTCTATGATTCTATGATTCTAGTCTATGAGTATCTGAGGACACAACCACCCTCTCCTTTCCTGTGACTTTGGATCCCATTCCTGCAGTTTTTCCCCCTTCTTCCTTTCTCCTTCTGTTTAGCTGCTCCCTGAGAGTTACCAACTCCACAGGGACAGTCAACGTTGATAAATCATTTCAGGATTTCTGGGTTCAAGTCTGTTGTCCTTGAAATGTTGTGGGCAGAGGGAAGACCACTGTGCCCATAACCAAACCCCTCCTCAAATTTTCTGTAGGAAGGAGGATAGGAATTCAGTGCAGTCTGCTCTGGGATGTGGGTGGTGGCACCCGCCCCAGGGAATGCCCTCCATTCAGATGTCATAGAAATAAACAACTATCTGACTTTCAGAAGTTTTCAATGTTTGATGTTTTATTGTGATTTTAATATTCTGTTGGGAGCCACCCAGAGTGGATGGGCGGGGTATAAAGAATTACAGAGGGCGAAAAATACGGTACATTTTGGAAGCCAAGCCAAGGGAGAGAGGGAGGGAGGGAGGTCTGGGGGTTCAGGGAACCCCATAATGGTACTGATATGGACTATGGTTTAATGTAAATGTGTGTGTGTGTGTGTGTTTCTTTTTGAAACTTTGAGCTGGGGGAATCTGCCTGTATAAATGATTTGATATGCAAGATACAAATGTGAAAAAGAGGCTTTTAAGGTATTCTTTCTCTATTCTTTTTTCTATACAATTGTGCTTTGTATTTTCTGACAAATGAGTTTGAATTTTAGTGTTTAATGTGTTTTTCTTTTAAAAAACCCTTTCATTTCAGTTGTTTTATACAGAAGTAAGTTCTTCTGAGTTCCACAGGGCTTACTCCCAGGAAAGGGTGCATAGGATTGCAATCATAGACAGCATTCTGTTTCCCACACTGGTTGGCAAGAAGCTAAAGTGCTGGTTCCTGGCTGTTTCTCCCAGTTTTTCAGAAATACAGTGGTACCTCGGGTTACATACACTTCAGGTTACATACTCTTCAGGTTACAGACTCTGCTAACCCAGAAATAGTGCTTCAGGTTAAGAACTTTGCTTCAGGATAAGAACAGAACAGAAATCGTGCTCCGGTGGTGCAGCGGCAGCGGGAAGTCCCATTAGCTAAAGTGGTGCTTCAGGTTAAGAACAGTTTCAGGTTGAGAACGGACCTCCGGAACAAATTAAGTACTTAACCCGAGGTACCACCTGTATTATTATTATTATTATTATTATTATTATTATTATTATTATTATTATTAACAACCTGGCCTAATGCTTCTCCCTTCTCAAAACAGTACATAGATCAAAACTCAGTTCTTTCAAAACTCTGACTTCTTCAAATGTTGCAGTGCAGTTCTCCAGCTCATCAGTTCTGTGAATGAAAATGTGTTTATACTAGGGAAAAGTGTGTGAAAACCACACACACACACACTGCTTAGAGGGTTTTTTTTCTGAAACAACACCAGCACTGTTTTTTCTCGAAGACAAGCACTGGCAAGGCCTTTGTATTATTATTTTAAAAATCCCAAACTGATGCAGGAATGTGAAGAACTGGACTTCAGACTGAGATCAACGGAAAAGGGCAGACTTGCCCATTCATAAAAGGAGGGACTGTGTGCATCCTTTGCTCTCTTCACCCTTTACTAACCTGATAAAGGGACATGGGTGGTTCTGTGGTCTAAACCACTGAGCCTCTTGGGTTTGCCAATTGGAAGGTCGGCGGTTCGAATCCCCGTGATGGAGTGAGCTCCCGCTGTTCTGTCCCAGCTCCTGCCAACCTAGCAGTTCGAAAGCTCACCAGTGCAAGTAGATAAATAGGCACCACTGTGGCGGGAAGGTAAATGGTGTTTCCATGCGCTCTGGTTTCCATCATGGTGTCCCGTTGTGCCAGAAGTGGTTTAGGCCTGCTGGCCACATGACCCGGAAAGCTGTCTGCGGACAAACGCCGGCTCCCTCGGCCTGAAAGTGAGATGAGCGCCACAACCCCATAGTCACCTTTGAATGAACTCAACAGTCCAGGGGTCCTTTACCTTTACCTTTTACCTTACCAGCTCTCCAGACTTTTTGGCCTACATCTCCCATCATCCCTGAGCAGAACTCTCTCAGGAGATGTAGCCCAGAGCATCCAGAGGGCACTGTGTTTGGCAAAGTTTGAGTTCCACCTGAATTTACTAGATGACCAGAGATATCCATCCAGGGAGCTTGCGGGATTGCGCCAGAAGATCTGGATTGGGGCCCCTGTGTGCAAAGTGCAGTGGAGGAGCACATTCGCCTTCCCTCCCTCTCTCTTTTTATTGTTCCTTTTTATTAGTAACAGTAATGACATCTCTGAAATGGAGGCTTAACCATAATTGCTACATGCATCTAATAAATTGCCTCCGGTTCCTCAAAATGAATTCTTGTGAATCAATTCAGGCCTTTGTTCTCAAGGCCGCTGAGTTATTTTAT